TCTTGGGGGTACGGGGGGGGGGGGCCCTTCTTTTCCTTTAATGGAAAAAGTGGGACAAGAAGGGGCTGTGAGGAAGGGGCTGGTGGGGAGTGGGGTGGTAAGCTCTGAAAGGAGGCGACGGGCCTCCCAAGAGAGGATGGACAGAAGGGAACGGGCTGGAGAGAGGACAGAAGGGAAGTGAGAGGAGGAAGAGCTCCAAAGAGGCCACAAGGAAGGCAGAGGAGGTTTCAGGGGGCAAGGGAGGAAGGAAAGGCCTGCCCTGTGCGGGGAGGCTGGGAGAGGCATGCGGGCAGGTGGAGGGAACGGGACAGAACCAGGGGTGTGTTCATTCGCCGTCGGATCCATGAATTGTATAAGACAGAGACTAGAGAAGCTGTGAGTGGGCCGGGAGCTGCCCCGAGGGGGGCGGGGGGACTCCCCACGGCCCGGGCCCTGGCGATCACAGTGAGCTATGGACTCTCTCTGTACAGTCCAGGTAGAAAAGCCAGGGCTCCCTTCACAGCCTGGTCTGGGCCTCTGGGATGTAGATCTCGATACTGTCTGCGCTCTCCGTGGCCGAGTTCTGGCGGAAGGAGGCGGCTCGTTTGGCTGCCAGGAGCCTCTTCCTGGCTTCCTGCCTCTGCCGATCCACGGAGTCCAGGGAGCGCTCCTTCACCGGGTGCACCTTGGAGCGCGGGGGCTTCTTTGGTATGGGGGGAGGGACCTTCTTCTCCTCCTGCACAGACAAAGAGAGTGGTTAGAAACATTCAGGGCGACGGCAGGTCGTCTGGACCAAAGAAAAGAGTGGCTGGGACTGCATGGGGAAGCTGGGCGAGGGTGTGTGCATGCGTTTCTGGGTGTGCTCACCTATTCGCATGCATTCATGTCCATGTGCAGAAGACCGTGTGATTTAGTTGGGAATGGTTCTGCTTTGAGCAGGGGGTTGGACTCGATGACCTCCTGAGGGCCCTTCCAACCCTCATTTTCTATGACTCTATGACCACACACATGTGCACACATCTGTGAGTGCACATTCGTATGAGCATGCCTCTATATGCATGGGTGAGCTCAGCTAAATGTGGACGCTTGCACATCTGTACACCTTAGCCTGCACACATCATATGCACATGCCTCTGCATAGGCAGGTGAGCTCAGCTAGACATAGAGGCACACTTGCACATCTGGACATTGGGCATACACACACCTCCCAAGGCTGGTGGCACCCAGACAGGTGTGTGCATGTCTGCACACACAGCTGTGAGCTCACACACTGCAGAAGAGTCTATAGAGAGAACATGGGGCAGGTCCTGTGCCAGTTCATACCCATCACTGATCACTCCCACAGGGTCTAGCCTGGCACCTGCCACACCTGATTGAGATGCTCTGCTCTTGCGCAGAGCACGAGGGCTGTCGTGTCCACCCAAGACAGGGATGGCAATGAAGCTCGACCTTGAGAGCATTCCCCTGGGGAATGCATCAGCCTGGAGGGTGGCAGAGCCACGAGGGGTTGAGGTAAGTGGATTTTACTCTGCCGTGGCCTGCACACAGGGCAAGCATCTCTGCGGGTGTGTGTCTGCCCCTTTGGAGATAACAGCAAGCAGGAGACACTCTGCAGAGCCACTTAAAACACAGCGGAGAGAAGAGGCCTCTTCCTTCAGGTTCTTTCTTCCTTAAGCATTCACAACAATGCCCCTTGGTTGTGCCCAGCATAGCTCAGCGGTCGCAGCTCCAGAGCAGACGCGTGCAGGGAGAGAGCAGCCGGCAGCCACGATCACAAATCTCTCCACGCGCCCACGGTCTCCCCTTTCATGCTCATGAAATGCAAGAGATGCGCTCTAGGGCGGGACGTGCATAAGAGCAGCTTCCAGCTGAGCACTGCAGTGCTCCGTCTCAGGCTGCCAAGGGGGAGGCACTTTGCAGAACAGCTCCTCCGGGGCTGCGCCAGCTCCGGCTGCGGGCAGGGCTCGGGGCAGGCAGGCAGGGTCTCTCCCTCTCTCACTCACCATCTGGCTCTGCCCTAAGCCTGGATAGCCACACCAGATCCCAGCACCCAACCCCCCTCCAAAACAAATGTATTGGAAGGTGGAAGGAGGGAGGAGTTTGATCTCTATTGAGACATACACCCGCATCCAAGGCTCATCACAGCCTGGCCCCTTCTCCCTGTAGGGCAGCAGAGACCTCTGCAAAGCCCCTGCAGAGTTTACACCTACACACCACTGCACTGGATCTGCAATGGTCAGAGCTCACCCGCCTGAATATGGGAACAGCTGAGATGTCCTAGGACCACATGGTTCCCCTCAGCTCCGCACGGGTTCCAGCCAGACCGACTTCTGTTGGGGATGGGATGGAAGCTGACCCTCTTTCCCTGTTGGGGATGGGAGCTGACCCTCTGTCCCTGCTGCTATGTTTGCTGGATCCAACACACATTGGAGACTGGAGGCAAAGGTGAGCAAGCCCTCTAAACCCAACAGGGCAGATTCAGTTCCCTCCTCTTCTCTCCCAGCAAACCTTCCCGCCTTCTGCCAAGAGAGGAAGGAACCAGCCTCCACCAGTCCTCTGTGTCCTCCATAAGCAGGTCATGGCAATGTGAAAGAAGAACAGCCCTGGACCCCCAGCTGCACCCTGCCAACCCCAGCCAACAGGCACTTACAGCCCTGTCTCCCTACCTTGGGCTCAATGATCTTCCACCCGTTGGCCTTGAGCTGCAGAAGTTCTGCAAACTTCATGCTGACGTCCTCAATGGAGAGCTGCAGGAGGTCCCAGAATCCAGCCAGGTCTTGGAAGGTGGGCACAGGGAACGCGTTAGGGTCCTGGCGGAAGGGGAGAAAGGGGATGCATCACTAGACAGGCAGATTATTTCCACACATCCCAGAGGACACAGAAGGCTCACAGACTTTCCATCGCTTTGCCGCCCAAGGCAAGCTGCTAAGCAGTAGCGCTGGGCTGTCTGACCTTTACCGACTGCATTAAAACGTGCCCCTTTGGCTCCCTGTGGCTGACATAAAATGCTTCAAGCAAACCAGGCCGGGTCTTTACTCTACAGTCCAAAGCAGTCACCAGCATGGGGAAGCATTTGGAAATTGCTATTGCTTCTTAATTAAAATGGGGCAACCCGTCTATTTCCAGGCATGCCCAAATCACTGCCAGAAAGAACAGTTCATTTCCTAGACTCGTGGGATTCCTAGCCTGGTTTTCCCCACCTTAAGGGAGAAGACTTGTGATGGAGTGTGCTTTCAAATGGGACCAGCTGGAAATAAAGCCGGGTGAGGTATGCCCACCTCCTGCTGCTGTGTTGCTCATGCCCCTTGGAGCTCCGCTGCCTCACCAGGCCCTGCCATCTGCTCGGTGGGCGAGGGGGAAGATGCACTCACCATGTTCTGCTGGCAAAGTCGGTAGAACTGCTGCACCTTCTGGGACATCAGGAGCTGGGCACTGCCCACCGCACTCCGGATCTTCTCCAGAACTGGCAGGACACCCAGAGAGAACTCAAGTTAGGGCTCTTGTTTGGGAGTAGGCTCTAGACTGGAAGAGCTCAGGCATTAGCTCCACACTCCGAGCTATCTGGGTGTGCTGGAGGGGAGCAGCTCAGACCAACCCCAACCTCCCAAACAGCCAGGCTTGCCCCTCCCTGGAAGACCCTCAAAGTGATAGACTACTGCTCAACATGCTACAAGGAGAGAGAGCGAGCATGGGGACTGTGTGTGTATGGGGATGCACAGACAGGAAAACCCCATCTTCCATCTCGGCAAGGGTCTGTTGGCTCTTAACACGCGCAAGAGCCTTTGGAGACCACCCTTGCTCTCCCAGTGGAGGTGGTGACAGCTGATCACTTGGGTCACTGGAATTCGGATCAGATCAAGCCCTTGGAGAACTGGCTTCAAGGGGTGACCCTACAATGGCCAGACAGGCTGCAAAGGGGCTGTCTCAGCTCCAAGGCAACCTCCTCTGTCTCCCAGGGAGGCCCACCCACTCACACCAGCCAGCCCTCAGGCCTGTGCAGAGGGGGGTTCCTGCCCTGTATCTCCTGTGAGCTGCCGGCCAGCACCAGGGCTTCGTCCTCTGCAGAGAGGACGGCTGGACATCAGGCAGCCAGGATTCCTCGGGTGCCACTGGCAAGTGCCACACCAGTGCCATGGCTCGGACCTGGCAGCAAAGAGCAAGGAGGCAAGAAGGAGACTAATGAAGCCCGACTGCATGCCCTTCTCCACCCCATCACCCCTAGCAGGGCCAGAGCCCAACCCCCTGATCCCTCTGTGAGCTGGCTGGCACTAAGCACACATGGGCTGTGGGGAACATACCAGGCGCATCCGGCTGCATAGCTTTGCTGGTGCTTCCAGGACAGCCCCAGCTGGGTGATGCCGGCCCAGCCAAGACTGGCCCCACAGCCTGGGGGAAATCCTTGGATACTGCCCACCCCCTCCCCACCTCGCCTGGACTCACTCTCCTCTGGTAGGTCGTAGTCCTCAGCTTCCCGCTCCATCTGCTGGCACCAGCCCTCCATCTTCTCCACCTCCGCCTGCAGCAGCTTAATGAACCACTCTCCGTCCCGGTGGCAGGGGGAAGCTCTGCCGGAGTCGGGGAGGCTGCGGGAGCCCCTGTCGATCCAGGAGTCCCGCCGGGGCACCTCCACAGTGTCGTACTGCATCTGGTAGTCCTCGCGGTAGGCCCACTGGCCCTGAGTGTGCACTGTCTTGTACACCGCGTACTGTCGGGTGGACTCAGGCTCCGACGAGTGCCGCTGGAAAGGCCGTCCGAACTGCAATGCTTTGTCCTCCGTGGCCACGGCAAGGCCGGCAAAGCCCTCTAGCTCCAGGTCTGCCTGCACACCGGCTGTCACGCTGTTGGAGCGCTTGAACCGGGCCCGCCTGTGGACGGGGAGGAGAAGGGGTGATGGAGATAGGCTCCTGTCCCCCAGGGGTGGGTGCAACAGCGCTGGGAAAGGTGCATTCAGCATCCTGCAGGGCATTGGCGGAGCATGGAGGGCCGGCACGGCTGGGGGAGCCATGGGTGCAGGCTGAGGGGCATCGTAAAACCATGGGAGGTAGGGCTGCTGGCCTGGGGAAACCATCAGCTTTAGCCCAACAGCGGTGCTTCCCTTGCGAGACGCTGCATTTGTACTGCGTTAAGGTTGAGGCTGTGGGGAAAGGATGCTGGCGGCCCTGAATCTCACCCGCCCCCGACCCCAGGCACTGCCTGGCCCTGGCCAGAACCTGCCCCTTTGCCGTTAGACCTGCCCGCCGCGTTCGGACAGGGCTCCCCTCCCCTCCCGGACGCAGAGCGAGGGGCCATGTTGACTCCTTTTACAGCATGTCGGGGAGCAGAGGGAAGCTGAGCTCGGAGGCTCACAAGCTGTTTAGCTCCTGCGCCGTCCGTGGGGACTGCTCGCTAACAGCCGCTTCCTCATGTTCCCTCATTTAAATGCCTTCTCTCCGGCTTGCGCTCGCTAGCCCGTTTCTATGGAAACCAGCAATGGACGGATGCTGAAGAACTGGGGAGAGGGACATGCGCTCGGCCCCCTTGTTAAGCCGCGAGAAGGAACATTTGCAAAGTTCACCTCGGATGCCTCTCAGCGGCGGGGCCACGGCAGGGAGGAGGGAGCCAGGGGACATTGGGGTGGGGACAGTCAAGGGGAGCACCCAAAGCCACCTCCCTCCGTAGGGTCTCTCCCTGTGAAACAAGGGGCTCGGGGCAACTCTGAGCAGGCCCCCCAAGGGTCTTCAATCCAAAGGGCCTAGGTGAATCGTGGCCCTCAACAGCCTGGCAGTCACCTGCAGGAGACAGATGTTCAAATCCCTCCGTCTCCCGAAGGCACGTGAACCAGCATGTCCCAGAAAAGTGCCCCAACCATTTGGCTGCAAGGTCTGAGACAGGGGATTTAACTCCCACCTGTGGAGGCTGCTCCATGTTATGGAAAGCGTATACCCATTCACCCAGCTGGGGGATAAGAGAGGGAGGGATGGTTTGGGTGCTGAGCTAGGATGCAGCACATCTGAGTCCACGCCCGGCCCAAATGGGCCTTGTTTGCCCCAGACAAAATGCTGTTGCTTCAGTGAGAAAAATAAAAAACCCATACTGGTTTGATCCAAACTGAGTTTTTTCAGCCTCTGAACCAAAAATTCAATTCTTTCCTCCATGCAACTGGAGTCTCTGCAACCTCTTGGGCTCTTCGACTGAGCCGCCAAGGCTTGGCCCATCTCATCATGAAACCCTGCAGCCTAGACAGCCTCGCTCAGCCTCCAGCCTGGCAGCAACGGTCTAGACAGGACCGAACCCCTGTAGGCCTGTATCACCGAGTGGTTCAAAACCCTGGAGTTAGGGAAGAACCAAATCTGCAGAACCCAGATTCAGGTCCGGATCGGGACATGGTGAAGACAAGGCAGCACAGTCCAGTGGGGAGGTACCCACTGCGATTGCAAAAGTTAAGTCAGACAGCTGTGAACCCCTCAGTACCAGCTTAGCCTGCAGATTATAATATGTTTTGCGAGAGCATGTTGTTATAGGACATAGCTCATGTAGTTAGCCTGCTGCACAGGGAGCCATTTGGTGACCGGTGTGAGATGAGTCGGGGCGGTCTCAGCCCAGCTCACAGTGGACAAGAATCCACAGCACTACCCTCGGCCTCCAAAACAATCCTCATGCTGGCTGGCAGCTGACAAGCCCTGGGCTGTTCCTGAATTACCTGCTTGCCCTTCTGACGCCATCAGTTCAAACCCAACACGCATGTCAGGGGGCCGGGAGGGGATGGAGGGGCTTGCCAAGCTGCTGCCTGCATTGCCCGTCACTTTATGAGCCAGCCGAGAGCCAGCTGTGCTTGGCCGTTGACGCGGGAAGCTAGCACGCACTGTGCGTTGCAGGCTCTTGGGATGCTCGGGAGAAGAGGCACACTATGAATATTTAGTCTGGAGGAGGCATTGTGTGAAAACAATTGCGCCCGTGCAGCGGATTTGCTCAGCCCCGTCTCCTGCAGGGAAGGGAGGATAAAAGCTGCATTTAACCAGTGGTACCTTTTGTCTTCTTCCACCTGCACTCCAATGGAGTGGAATTCCCTTTGGCTCCGGCTTTCTGTGTCAGAGTCAGATATGGTCTCCACCTGCAGCAGGGATCAGAGGGAAAGCTTGTCGGGAAAGGATCTGTGCGAAGCCTCGGGCACATTACACTCGTGCGTCTGAATTTCCCTCCGCCAACGCAGCAGTGCCGTGCTGGGAAAGCCACAGAAAAAAATGGCCTGAAGACAGCAACAGCCAGATCGCTCCAGGAGAACTGAACTGTGCTGGGCCCTGTTGGTCCAGGGAGAGGTTTAGGAGCAGGGCACTGCATGGAGGGAGTTTATGCCTGTTCTGTTGAAAAGGCCTTTTCACACATCTGTCCCAGCCAGAGCTTGCAGCCCCCCGCCCAGCCAGCCACGATGCCCTTTGCAACAGCTCCTGGCAACCGTGACGGTGAGATGTGGAGAGAGCAGACCCAAATCTGCAGAGGGTTAGGGGCCAGGAGACAGGCAGCTGCCCTGCCCTGGGGCCCTCACCCAGACCTAGGGCACCGGAGACCCCAAAATGTGCTGGATGCCCTAAGAGGTGGGTGATGGCTTGGCTCCAAGTAGGCTTAGGCTCAGACTGCTCCTTGGGCTCTCCAAAGAGCTGAGGCAGAGCAACACCTACCTGAACCCCAATGGATGGGCGCCATTTCCGCTGCCGTGCCAAGCTCCTTAGTTCTTCCCGGCCAGGGATGGCCTTGATAATGAGTGTGGAGGGCTTGGGGGAAGCCCTGGGCTGGACGGGAGGCAGGTCTAAGGAGATGGCCGTCACCTTGGAGCTCTCCAAGCTCTCCATGGAATTGCAGCGAGCCGCAGCCTCTTTGGACCACGAGGGGCTCCGGGCGACCTCGGTGGGCAGGTAGGTCTCATGGGTGGACTCGGTGCTGCTCTGTGCCGTGACGGAGATGATAGGTGTGGCTTTGTTTCCTGGAGGGATGGGAGGTGGAGCTTTTCTGTAACTGAAGGCTGTTGTGGGAGAGGCGCATGATAAAGTTGCATGAAAAAAGGAGACACATTCTCATTTCCGACCGCACACGAATGCCGCCAAGAAAACCCACCTCTTCCTCCATCTGCCCCGTGGGGCTCCAGCAAAGGCACTAGGCCCACTGTCCAGACCCCACGAGCACAGCTAAGCTCAGCTACACCCATTGAGGACCTGTCCCCCATGCCCACTTGCCCTTGGCCCGTGTGCAAGTCAGTGCCCACAAATACTAGTAGGATAATTGTGAGCACATGTTGAAGGTCACACTGGGCCGGTTTGCTTTCACGTGGACTCTTGGGCCAGTTCATTCCCACGGTCCCTAAGGACTGCTTTATTCTCAAATGGGAGGGAAGATCAATGCACCCTTGTGCTGGCCACGCCATTGCCATGGCAGCCAGCATGAGCAAACACAGGAGAGCAAAAAAAGGGGACAGGAGAGAGACAGAAAGAGGAAAAACAGGAAGGTTCAAGGAGGACAGGAAGGGAGACTACTGAAATAAAATGAGGAGAGATGGACAAAGTGGCAGGGGCACAGGTCAGTGTCTGTCCAGACTTTCTAGGCTTTCCAAGTGACGTACTACAAAGGGGTTGGCCAAGCCCTCAGAAAGTCCAGGACTCATATAAAAAGGTGGTAGCATGGGACTTCGGTAGATGTTTGGCAGGGAAGTGGGAAACAGGGTCCCTCTGTGGGAAAGGAGATGGGGGTGTAGGATCCCTAGGTCCTGGCAGTGAAACCAACCCCCGCTTCCCTCAAACCCATGCAACGGAGCAAAAAGCACCCAAGAGCAGAGCCCCGGGGCAGCAGGCCGGTACTCACAGGTGCTGGGCTTCAGGATGCTGCTGGTGATGGCAGGCCCGGCGGGGGCCGACATGGAGAAGAGCGAAAGGCAGTCATCATCCTGGGAGCAGCCGGCCTGGATGGCCCGCAGGTAGCTGTGGCTCCGCATGCGGAAACAGCCGGGCAGGTCCAGAGCCTCCACAGCCTGCGACTCCACCTCGCCAAAGACAGACTCACAGACGGCCTCGAACTGGTGGTTCAGCTCGTCGTTGATCTGGTGGGAGAGGTCGGGCGGTGAGAACAGAGGAGACGGGGCAGCTCTGACGGGGACCAGCTCCCAGCTCCGTCCTTCCACCCCACATCGAACTGCACCAGGGAATGAGCCAAACTGGGCCGCAGAGGAGGAACGGAAATGGTTGAGGGAGGTGAATGTCCCTACCCCCCAGCCCACTCTTACCCCTGGCCCTTTGGTTCTGCCAAGAGGCACCATCTCTCCCAGGAGAAACGGCCCCTTGAGTTTAGCAAAGGGACAGGGCAGCTCCCTGAGCTCCCTAGCCAACACCACAGCTAAGGGACAGCAAGTCTCGGGGTCCCTGGCAGCACTCAGCTGCCTCCCTGGGTGAGGGGGGGGGTCTTGGAAACTTCAGCTGTGCCAGTGATGCTTTCCAGCGGATGCCATGTTGGTGAGAGGGGCTGTCCTGAGAATTAGGCCAGAGGGATGCTAGCACAATCGGGATCTCTCAGCCTGCCTCTGCCACCATTTCTCAGGACAACCTGGCATGGAGGGCTCAAAGAAGAGCTCCAAGCTCCCCTAGCCAACTGAGATGGCCACCCACATGCTTTTGGGGTGTGGAAGTCTGTCCACTAGGAGCTGGACCAGACCCGTCCAACATGAGGCACAGATATTCCTACAAAGCCAAGCTGCTTGCAACCACCAGGATGGATTTGAGCCAACGAGCCAGACAAAAAAGCCACCCAGTCCTATTATCAGGCTACCGGTCCCTGCCACAACCTCCCCTGCTATTCACGGCAGCTGCCTCTTCAGGGGCATGAGAATATGTGGAAAAGTGTGGGGCTCAGCTTGGCAGAGAAGCCAGAGACTGAATAGGCCATGCATACTGGGATCCCCCTCCTCTCCTGGAGGAACCAAGACTTGAGGGGCAGTGAAAGAAGAATATGGTAGGAGCTTGCCGGGCCACTGTCCGTGCTGTACCCATCCTAAGGAGGCAACAGCTGGGCACCGGTCCTCAATGCAGACAAGGGGGTAGGAATCACCTGCCGAGTGGAGGAGGCCTCTGCTAGCCACAGAGCATCCAAAAACAACACAGCACAGCCCTGCACAGCCTGAGCTAGCAGCATCAGGGTCAGGGCTGGCCCAGGCAGGGCTGTGGGGGTCAGGTCTCTGCAAGGCACAGGCACTGCTCTGCAAATCAGGTGAGGGAACACTGATGGGGAGTGCTTCCAGCAAAGGCCCTGCAGGACCAGGGCAAGGGCACAGGGAAGGAGCAAGGTGAGGGGGAGGGAGCTAAGCCCCGTCATGCTTGCAGGGCAGCAAGGAGAGGCTGCAGGCCTGTGCTGCCACCTGTGCAATGAAGGAGAGGGCGGGACAGGGCAGGTGTCTGTGCTGCACAGGTCAGGACATCCCGGGTGCTCTCTCAGGGCCATGCTGAACCCAACCCTTTCCCCCATGTTCTGATCACTGCTGTCATTCTCCCGGGCTTTGCCCCTACGCTGAGCTGGCTGATCCCAGCTGAGTCAGCCCCAGGAGCATCAGCCCCCAGGTCCCAGCCCTGAGCTTCTGCCCCCATCTCTCATGGCCTTAGGAACTGCTGCACCCCCATCCTCAGCATCTGAGCCCCAGGGACCCAAGCAGCAGAGGCCTGATCTTTTAACCCACCTGCCAGTCTGTGGGCTGATCACAACTTCATGTCCATCTCCCCTCCAGCCTCCCTGGCATCCTCAGCACCCATGTGCCAAACTCCCCTCCCCTCCAGCCCCTCACGGAGGTGCCTGCAGGGGTGCTGAGCTGGGGTCTTAGGTAAACCCAGCCGTGGCTGTGGGTGCTGAGCACCTTCCCCCACCCTCCTCCCACCATGTGAACCCAGGATCTTCGGCAGCTAAGGATGCCAGGCAGCATGGAGCCAAGGGCAGCAAAGGGCCCTGCTGCCTTACCTGGCCGGTGGTGAAGGAGCGTCCGTAGCCCTGCCCCCGAGGGTGCACTCTGGGCGGCGTGCAGCAGCTGGGACAGTTACAGATATATGAATCAGAATAGTGCCTACTTGCAAACCTAATGAGACACAGTGGGAACAAAAGGGGTCGCACCAGAAGCAACACATTCCAGCAGAGCACCTGGAAGCACACCAGCCATGGGGCTTCTGCCTGCAGCCGCTGCAGCCACCGGGTCCTGGCAGCCTGCTCCACCCTTCCCACCATGCATGCACTGCCCTGGGGAACTGTGGAGCAAGGAGGACAGTCCTCATGCCTGCCGGGCAGACGCACAGCCATCCTGGCCAGGCTGAGCCCCAAGCTGCTCAACGAGCAGTGGCCTAACCCCTCCCCTGTCTGGTTTGGCAGGGAACATGTGTGAGATGCACAGCTGGCTGGGTCTGGAAAGCATTGCAAGTGGCCAATGGTGGGTAGGGATGCAGGGCAGTAGCGTGGGGTTGGCAGACAGCGTGCCAGGGACACTGGGAGAGAGGAGCAACAGATTAACCCACAGGCATGCTCTTACCTGTGCTTCCAGCACTGGAGAGCACATTGGCCATGCCAAACCCATGAAAGCCCCTCCACCAGTCCCTTTTCCCAGTCCCATTCCCATAGTGGGGATAAACTGCACCAAAGCAAACCCCTCTGTGCCAGGCTATGCTGGGCTTTCTCTAGGGGTGGGCATGCGAAGATCCCAAAGTAGACAAGACCTCCCCCTCAAAGACTCTAAGATGCAGACATCCCTTCAGCCCCAGCTGGTTTCTTTCAGCTTGGGGGTTTGGCCCACCATCCCAGCGTCTCAGGCCTGCACGCATAGACTGCTCACACAACTGGGCTCCCAGGGTGCAGCTCTGCAAGTGACTCCCTGCATGGATCCCTGACTGCAGGACATGTTCCCCAGTTCCAAATGCGTTGCCATCGTTGCACAAGCAGCCTCCACGTCAGCTGCCCCCGCGCACATGCACCTTTACCACGGCCGCGTGTGCAGATCATGCAAACGCCCAGGTGTTGTGAGCAAGCAGCTCTGAGCAGTGGGACCTCTGAAACCCGCCGGTCATTTTCACAGTGTGTTTCTAGCAGCCTTCCAACATCATCCCCAACATTAAGCCTACTCGCCTGGGGAAGGGAAATGAACGGTTTTAATTGCCTGTAAAAATAAACAGAGGCTGCAAGCCCTCCGTGCCGGCGGCTTTCTCCTGCAACGTGTATGTGCATCACAAGGGAGCATCGGGGTCGCCACCGTGTTGCACGTAATAAATAACAGTCACAGAAGCACACAGGTAGTTAGCTGTGTTAGCCTGAAGCCAGGCGGAAGGCAGGGCAGGGTGGCACCTTGGAGACTAGCTGGTTCAGAGAGGCATGAGCTTTCCCAGGTGATGACCTACTTTGTCAGCTGCTAGGAACGGATGCACAAACCAAGGATTTGGGAAAGCTGGCACCTGTCCGGTTTCATGTCCAAGCCCTTCTAAGCCAGCCCAGTGCAAGAAGGGGGCAGCGGGCAATGTTCTCCCTTGACACCTGCAGGTCTATACATGAACTAAGGAGGTGCAGCCATCCCTGGGACAGGCTTTGCAAAGCCAGCTCTCTGCTGAGGGCTCCCACTTGGAAGAGGAACAGTGCATTTCAGCCCCTGCTCCTTGGCTCCATTTCAAGCCTGCCAAAGCCGAGCAGCCTCAGAGCACTTGCCCCTCCCATCTCAACACCCTGCCTAAATCCCTCTGCTTCCCAACCCTGCAGCAAGCCCCTGATCCAAAGAGGTCCAGAGGGGCCGAAGCCCCCAACGCCCTCCCTTACTTGGTCCTGGCCTGGTCGGCGCTGGAGGAACGGCGGTAACTATCCCGCCGGGACGCTGCCTTGGGAGACACCTTGGCACTGGCATCCGAGTCACCGCTGTCGTCGTCCCCCATGGCCTTAATGTAGCTGCCGCTGCGCATGCGCCGGCAGGGGATCTCGCCGTCCTTCCCCGGCGTCGGGTACCCACCCCACTCATTCTGCGGCACCTGGAGGGAGAACCAGGAGAGAGGCCTGTCAGGAGCCTGGGCTGCCAGAGCAGATGTGGGGTGTAGCAGACTCAGCCGTTCGTGCCAGGACTGCAGTATCCAGGGTAGGACGCAGGGGAGAACCTAAGTGAGCGCTGCCTTGAAGAGCAGCTCCCAAACTAAGGGGCATGACCGCAAATGGGGTCAGTCCTAACAAGCAGGGTCACAAGCCCTACAAGCATCCCATTATCCAACTCGAGCTTGGACCAGAAGAGGGGTCACCCATGGTGGTGAAGGGTCGTAAGCCCTATCATGGGGTCATAGGCCAGAAAGGTTGGGACCTAGAACCTAGACAACCCAAAGGAACAGGATGGCCCAGCCATCTCAAGGAGCATCCCCTCCGCGCCCTTACAGGCAGGTCCCATCTGTTCCCCACTGCCTGCACATGCCCCTACCTATCAGTGCTGCTCTAGGGGTGAGGGAACTGTCAGCCATGGGACGAAGCCATCCCCCTTCCTCATCCTCTCTGTCAGACGTAGACAATCCC